CCCCGACAAGCTGCCCCTCGAGCTGCCCCCGGGTACGCCAGCTGTGCCAGGTGTGCCCCCAGGTATGGCCAGGTACTGCCAGGTGTGCCCAGGTATGGCCAGGTGTGCCCAGGTACTGCCAGGTACTGCCAGGTGTCAGCTGCTGCCCCGACAAGCTGCCCCTGGAGCTGCCCCCAGGTACGCCAGCTGTGCCAGGTGTGCCCCCAGGTATGGCCAGGTACTGCCAGGTGTGCCCAGGTACTGCCAGGTGTCACCTGCTGCCCCGACAAGCTGCTCCTCGAGCTGCCCCCGGGTATGCCAGCTGTGCCAGGTGTGCCAGGTGTGCCCCCAGGTACGGCCAGGTACTGCCAGGTGTCAGCTGTTGCCCCTCGAGCTGCCCCCAGGTATGCCAGCTGTGCCAGGTGTGCCAGGTGTGCCCCCAGGTACGGCCAGGTACTGCCAGGTGTCAGCTGTTGCCCCTCGAGCTGCCCCCAGGTGTGCCAGCTGTGCCAGGTGTGCCCCCAGGTGTGCCCAGGTACTGCCAGGTGTCAGCTGCTGCCCCGACAAGCTGCCCCTGGAGCTGCCCCCAGGTGTGCCCAGGTGTCCCCAGCTGTCCCCAGCTGTCCCCAGCTGTATCCGCAGTTGTGTCCCCATCCGTCCCCAGGTGTCCCCAGCTGTCCCCAGCTGTATCCGCAGTTGTGTCCCCATCCGTCCCCAGGTGTCCCCAGCTGTCCCCAGGTGTCCCCAGCTGTCCCCAGGTGTCCCCTGACCTGTCCCGTGTCCCCGCAGACCCCGAGGACACGGCCGGGCCAGCCTGGGCCCCCGCCCAGGCCTGGCAGCCCCCCCCGTGCCGGGAGGACTGGGACGCAGGTGAGGTCCCGCGGTGTCCCCACCCTGTCCCCGTGTCCCCGCCGTGTCCCCTTTGTGTCCGCACCGTGTCCCCATCCTGTCCCCGCCGTGTCCCCGTGCAGAGCTGGGCGAGCTGGAGCAGGAGCCGCCCCCGTTCGTCCTGCGCGTCACCAAGGGGGACCTGCCCGTCCCCTGCGGCAGGTAGGGAGGGGACAGCGACAGGGGTGCCACCCGCAGGGCCACTCGGGCGTGTGAGTGTCCCCAAGTGCCAC